TTCACGGTGTATCTATCAGACTGCTTTAATGCCTCACTCCACTCCCAGGACTCCACTACAACCACAGTTTTGTTATTAACAACAAAAAGATAAACATTCTCAAGACAAGAGAAAATGGGAAGAGAGATATAATCAGATGAGCAATTTCAAACAAGTTCTGAAAATGGATGGGTACAGCAAAGCAGAGGAGGCTGCACCATGGAGTGCTGGCAGATGTGGGCTTTAGAAGGGAGCCAGCTGACTTCAGAATCAGTCTGTACGGGTAGGTCCTGGTGGCCCCAAGCACAACAGAAACCGGCAATGAGGCACCGGGCTAAAAACAGGAGGATGGATGTGGATAACATACTGGACGCCCAAGGGCTTTACTCTATTCCTAAGAAGCAGGACACTTTCCTAGGCAAGAAAACAAAGACTCATTCTCTGAACAAATGAACCAGGAAAGGCTCAAATCTTGGAGGTGAGATGCTAACGGGGGTGGGGTGTGGGGGTGTGTGTGTGGGGGTGTAGAGTGAGACTAAATGCTGAATGGTTGCCTTCCCAGGACCCTGTCCTATAACCTGGAGACTGGAAGCTCAGTGTATGTCTCCTACACTCAACTCAGGCAGTAAATCAGAAGATGTCTTTCTAGAGAAAGTTGTCCCAAAGAAAAGGCCCGTAGACATTAACAAGGGGGATCCTTCAGCAGCCATCCAAGTCTCTGTGAGTCATTTAGTCATTCCCACCGTGTGACAAATTCTGCCCAGAATTTCCCATCACCCTTCAGTCCTTCACAGAGTCAACCATCACCCCAGTGCAGACAGACTCTAAGCCAAGCAAACAGCATAAGAAATGCAGAGAGAATAGTGCAAACAAAAAAAGAAAATGTCAAACTATTTCAAATGGGTTTCCTTAATTAAGATAATGAAGACTCTACGAAGCAAGAAGAGGGTGCTATGAAAAGGGCAGTATTGGGGCATGAGAAGAGACCCGAGAAATGACAATCTAGTAACAGAAATCAGTCATCCCGGAGAAAGGTTGGGAGCAGTCAGAGTGGGGCAGAAAGGCAGAGGTGAAAGAGAGAAGGAAAATGTAGTATTTAAAGAGTGTCAAAGTGAGAAATTACCAACAAAATAACGAAAAGAAAATTTCCTAGGTTTTAAGACTGATTTAAAGGGCCTCTGTGTGCTGAGCTCAATGAATGGGAGGAGGTCTTCACCAGGTGTGGAAGACAGAATGATAGTCCCCTATAGGACCTGGGGGTGGGGGTGGGGGGAGGAAGATGGAATTTCCTACTTCCATAAGGAGTTTAGTCTCAGAAACCCATAGGGGAAGTTATACCCTGCCCTAGAGGGCCATTAGGAGTCAAAATTGACTCAATGGCATTAGAGTGAGAAGACCTGGAGTATCACCACTTGTCTGCAGTTGGTCATACTGTCTGTAGTGGCTTGCATGTTGTTGTGATGCTGGGTTATACGCCGTATTTCAAATACCAGTAGGGTCACCCAAGGTCAATAGGTTTCAGCAGAGCTTCCAGATGGATAGACTACGAAGAAAAAATAAGACTGATCACTTCTGAGGGATTAGCCACTGAAAACCTTATGAATAAGAGAACACTGTCAGATGTCGGGCCAGAAGATGAGCCCTGCATGTTGGAAAACACTCAAAAGATAACTGAGGAAGAGCTGTCTCTTCAAAACAGAATTGACCTTGATGTGGATGGAGTAAAGCTTCCGGGACCCTCATTTGCTGTTCAGACACAATTCAAAATAGGAAGAGATGACTGCAAACATCCATTAACAATCAGAGCATGGAACATCTAAAGTATGGACCTATGTAAATTGGAAGCTGTCAAAAGGAAAGTGGAATGCATAAAGATTGATGTCCTAGGCGTTAGTGAGCTGATATGGACTAGCCTTGGCCATTTTTAATTGGACATTCAGATGGTTTGCTATGCTATGAATGACAAATTCAAGAGGAGAGGAATGATTGAGAAGACCTGGTGTTGTGGTGATTAGTGTGCTCAGCTGGTGAAAGGTTGGTAATTCAAACCCACCAGCTGTTCCACAGACAAGAACCTGTGAATACTAGCATACTGACTAAAGGATTTGCAGATGTAATTAAGGATCTAGATGAGGCTGAAAGATGATACTTGTGGTACGTTGTAAAGAGAAGTGTATCTGGGAGAAGTGTATGGGAAGGTGAGGTGAAGGGAAATTACTAGATATGATTCTTCTAGCCATAGTCTTTGCAAATCCCATCAAGGTCTTGGGTGGGAGCATGCAAATAAGGTATAGAGAACTCTAACCCAGGGGTTGGTCAATTTTGTCATGCTGCTGCGTATAAGAGTGAGCCATTTCAGAATCAAAAACTGAGAATCCCATGACTATCAAGGAAGAAACACCCGCAGACCACAGATGAGATCCCTGCCTGAATCGGTGGAGGCAGAGAGACACCAGAGGCTGCAGTGGTCAAACCATGAAACAGAGTAAGGAAGCCCTGTTGAGATCATGAGACAGAGCAGTGGGCTTCCCAATCCCCGGAACAAGTAAAGCCAAGTGCCTTCAGGCAAGAGTCTGACTTGTAGAGCTGGCTGCCCTTGGAGCACTTACCAGCACTACGGTAGCTTTGAAATCCTTGCTGGAGCAAGGCCAAGGGACCATGTGGCTGAGAGGCTGGGGACCAAAGAGACACTTGCTGGCATGACCGAAGAGGCATGTGGACAACAGGCTTTTATTCTTAATGTTTTCTGATCCTGGCTTGATGTAACCTGTTAACTTTCATAATAAACTCCCTTAAACCTGAGTACTGTCTGTGAGTTCTGCATTGTGGCCACTACAGGGGATTACCATACCCAGCTAAGAAGCACAGTGTCATGGAACAGAAGGCTGGAGTCAGAAACAGGGTTAAGGAGGTTGGAGGGTGGACACATATCTGCCCTCTGCGTCACAGGAATCATCCTTGGGCAGATGGGGGGTTGAGTTCTCCTTCCCCCTTGTGTAACTGGAGGAGGTCAGACATGGCCCCATCTCATATTCTCAGAAAGTGAAATTACTTTCCAGTGACTAAGGTTTCTGAGAACAATTGTTCAGTAGGATTAAAGGACAGAGAGAAAGTCGTAATGGCAAGTAGTTCACTGGACAGATCCAGGTTCCTCAACCTCTCTGCCCTATTGGCATTCTAGTCTGGGTAATACTTGGTTGTGGGAACTGTTCTATGCATTATAGGATGTTTGGCAGCATTCCTAGCTCCTACCTGCTAGATGGTAATAAGAACTGGGCTATGAATCTCAGGCCAGAAGTTTAAACCTACCAACTGCTCTCAGGGAGAAAGATGAGGCTATCTGTTCTTGTAAAGATTTAGCTTCAGAAACCCTAAGGAGACTTCTACTCTGTCCTATGGGCTCACTATGAGTCAGAATCGACTCGGTTATAGTGGCACCCACTAGATGCCAGTATAACCACCCCCATCAGTGATACATATCTTCAACTACTGCAAATAATCACTGGACTAGGTGATTATTAGAGAGTAAAATTTAAATGACGTCCTAAGACAAGCTTTTAAGACCCCAGATGCTATTCTTTCTGATAGCCCGGCACCATCTGGTTTCTCTACCACAGTTTGCTATAGCACCCATATCTTCAGTGATCTCTTCATGAGGGTGAGTATTGAGTAGGGCCATATCATAAAAATGAAATTGTTCTTGGGTTTGGGCTACCATTAAGTGTGATCCCCAAATCCATTCATGTGTCCAATGGGCTTTACATATGTCTTTGGTTCATGATTATTATCATTTTATAATAGATAACATTATCATCCTTATAGGATGATTTATAATGTGATCATCCTCATAGGACATAAGGACATATTGAAAGTATCAATTTAGCCAATGGTATTTAAGTTAAAACACTAAAAATCTAAGTGAGGCATCAACCAAGTCCACCTGGAAGAAAAGCACTAGCCTGTGTGATTCAAGGATTTCTAAATAATAAAATCCAAAACCACAGAAAGGAAAGGTAACAGAGATCCAATTCTGAACACCCAGTTTGCAAAGGCTATGGATGACCGTGGAAGCCCAAAAGCCATTTGCAAGATCCCCACATGGATTGAGCTGCCGGTGAATCCCCTCGGTGAATCCCCTCCAACCAAAGTCGAGTAATGTGAAGAACTCTGCTTCAAACAGAGATTATGGCAGATATAAACAGATTAAAATGTAGCACTTTATCATTTTATCTCCCTTTTGACTCATTTTAAAGTTGTTTCAGTCTTTAAATGTTTCTGCTTCCTTTTACATTGAAGTTTTTCTCCGTTTTGTTTTGCCCCTGTTGTTGCTTTTGCTTTGTTTTTTGTTCTTATTTTGAATGGTTTTCTGTATATGAAATCCAGGATAGGGAAATCTACATAAACAGTAACTAACTGGATTAACAATTGTCTAGAACAGTGATTCTCAACCTTCCTAATGTCGCGACCCTTTAATACAATTCCTCATGTTGTGGTGATCCAACCATAAAACTAGTTTCGTTGCTACTTCATAACTGTAATTTTGCTACTGTTATGAATTGGGCGACCCCTGTGAAAGAACCGTTTGACCCCTAAAGGGGTCACGACCCAATGGTTGAGAACCACTGGTCTAGGGGCATGGCAGGGGAGGTTGGGAATAAATAGGGAGCTAACCAAGAGCACAAAAAGTAGAAAATGATCTGAAATTAATTGTGGTGATGCTTGCACAACTCTTCTTGATAAGATTGAATCGTTTAAGGCAATGAAACTGTTGTGAAAATTTAAATGAGGTCAGAGAGCAGGTTGAGCCCCTGGCATGTAAATAAGGTCTCAGATCCATGGAGAACTAAGACCACAATGTTGCTAGTCAATCAGAGAGTGAATGGAAAAAGAGGTAAAAAATGTAGGACCTTGGAATTCTAAGTCCCTAGTACAAAAAAAGACCTGCCGATGAATGAAGCAATTCAAACCCTAACTGCATTCACCCCGCCAAACACCCACTCTAAATGGAAATAGAAAGTTACCTGACAACATTATTCAAATTTTCATACTTCGCTTATGCCTGTCTCTCCCTGGATGAATTTTCTGTCAGCCAGCTGTCAGTTCCTACTGGAGAAAATCAAAGCTATTCAAAGTTACATAAATACCAATAATTTGTTTATGATGCCCTTACTCACATCTTCCCCATTTTAATTCCTTGGTAAGAAATCCCAACAGTGTTTGTCCAGGTATCATATTTCACTGATTATGAGTTTGTAAGGATGAAGCCTGGTGGCACAGTGGTTACAGTGCTCAGCTGCCAACTAAAAGCTACTTGGGGGGAGAAAAACGGGGCCACTTTAAAGATGTTTTCAGCCTTGGAAACCCTGAGGTAGTTCTACTGTGTCCTACGAGGTCACTAGGAGTCAGAATCAGTTCAGCTATAGCGGATTAAGGGTGTGTGGAGTGGATCCTGCAGACAGCACTCCTGGGTTCGTCCATTTGCAGGGCTGAGCCTATCTTGGAAAGAACGCTGGGGTTGGGAGGGCCTTAGTCCTCACCTGGTCCAGCCTCCATTTTATGCAGACCAGGAGGCTGAGACAGGAGGGACAGGAGAAGTCCTCCAAAGTCCGTCTTACTCAACTGCTTGTCAGGACATAATCAGCTATTTCTGTGTTCTCTTTCTTTATTATTATTTTACCGCTTCCTGGATGGCCAGCTTCCCACGTAGTCGGGCTCTGCTGCGAAAGGCTGGTTTGTGTGGCATCTAGAACAGCAGTGCTGAGTGGGCCCAGGTACCTTGGCCTCTCCTGTGGCCTTTGGTCCCCATAACACCCCCCTCCAGCCTTTTTTTCATTCAGAGAGAAAAATGACTTCCTTTGGGACCCTTCTCCGAATAGGTCCCATGCTCCCTCCCCTAAAAATATGGCTATGGTGGGGGTAGAGAGGAGAGGGGCACGAAATTCGACCAAACTCACTGCCATTGAGTTGATTCTGACTCATAATGACCTTATAGGGCAGGGTAGAACTGCCCCCTTGGGTTCCCAAGACGTCAAAGCTTTACAGAAGCAGACAGCCTCATTTTTCTCCTGAGGAGAGACAGGTGGGTCCGAACCACTGATCTTCTGTTTAGCAACTCAATACCGAGCCCACAATGCCACCAGGGCTCCTTAGATTAACAAATGGACTTGAAGCGCCAAATTCAGCCACCGACCCATCCTTCCAGTCTCAGTCCCTTCTGCTGCCCCACAGAAGGGTCACCAAGGGCTTAGAGGGCGCTGTGGGGCACATGTCTTTGCAGAGACCTGGATTCTGTGGCTTTCTAGGCTACCCACCTTTGGGAAGTCACTCTCTTTGGCCTCGGCTTCAGTTTCGTGGTCTCGGAACGGTTATAATACCTACTAAACAGCCTGAGTGCAGGGACTGCCAAAGCTAGTTATGTAATGCTCTTGCCACTTATGAATTCAATAAATGTTTAGTTTCTAAACATGCATCACCAAATACACGAACAAGTGAATCCCTCTGGTCTGGTAACTAACTAAGTCATCCACTGCTATGGAGTCCATGCTGACTCATGGCGACCCCCTGTGGGTTTCTGAGGCAGTAAAACTGCTTATGAGAGTAGAAAGCCCAGTCTTTCTCCCATGGAGCTGCTGGTCATTTCAAACTGCCGACCACGAGGATCCCAAACCACTAAACCACCAGAGCTCCAGGGTCTGAACATGGGAGACCAAGCTCCCTTACATGGATGGGTTCTCCATCCTTTGTGAGCTTAA